GTGTGTGTCGGATATAGCGGCATGGCTTTTGGCCATAGCGGCAGGGCTTTTGGCCATAGCGGCAGGGCTTTTGGCCATAGCGGCAGGGCTTTTGGACATAGTGGGACGCCTCTATGACGGACACAGCCACGGGGCTTTCGGATGCCCCGGCGCTGTGTCCGCCACAGAGGCAGGGCGCCTCTATGTCGACATGACATAGAGGCAGACACAGCGCCAGGGCATCCAAAAGCCCTGCGGCTATGTCCAACATAGATGCGTCCCGCCTCTATGGCAGACGCCGGGGCAGCAATGCGGCTTTTGCCCGCTTGCCTCACCAGCCATAAATCTCACCGCACATTACTGCTGCAGACATATGTGTCTCTTTCAAATAGTAGAGTACATGTGTGATCAATGCTCAGGATATGATCACGTACAAAACACTAGTCTATCTCATTTTATGTGGATATAATTGGGCACATATCTCCACATTCCTTTATTCTCCTAATTTGAAATGATGAAGTTAAGGAAAACATGGCTTGATTCTTTTCCTGAAATGCATGAGCTAAATAAGGCTAATTAAGATTATTAGTTTTTGCATATAGCTGACTCCCCCCATCCCGCTCAGCAGGTAAGCTGTTTGACATTTTCCCCCTCAGAAGTAAAGGGCCAAGGGGGACATTTCTTTTGAAATGTACTCAGTAACTCCATATAAACAATTGTCTAATTCACCAGGTTTAAATAAGACACATTTAAATCATTTCCCCAACAAAATAGATGCAGTGAGTGTGAATGATACTTTCTTGCAAGCATTGAAAGCACCAGAAGCCAAATTACTGTATGGATCTCGCTTTTCAGGGTCGATGATAATAGTCAGATAAGACTATTATGTTACTTCAGCTTCAAAATTATATCTGCTGACAACTAATAATTAAGACATAATGTTTGTTTGAACTGATTCTTCTTTGTATCAATGATGTCATATTCAGGCACACAAGCAATTTAACCGTGTGAATAATCTATTCCAATTATGTTACTACAGTCTAACTCCATGGCTGTTGGGGGGGACGACATAAAACAATCCCTTTCATCATTTATTTGGCATTCTAATTTTTGTTTTGTTTTTTAATCTGTTTTAATGGATGACCTTTGCTGTTTTAATCTGTTAAATCAAGGGTTCTACTGTTTTATGATGTTTTTGATCCTATTTTGTACTGTTTAACTTCACATTTTAAATATTTTAAATGAATGTATTATTCAAAATACAATAAAAAAATTGGTGCTTACAGTCCGCTTGGGTCTGGATGGAGAAAATAAGCTAAGGTGAACCCAGGCAAGACAGAATTGTAGAAAGGATCACCCTAAACTGTGGTGATAGCCTTTGAAGAGACTTTCCCTTCAAAGAGCAATTCCATGATTTGTAGTAATGTAATATTGGTTTTAGAGATGCTGCCTTGCAGACTAAAAGTATCTGGGTGCAATTCAAAGCACTGGTTTGATCTTTAAAATCTACATGGCTTGATACTAAAGTACTTACAGACAGAATTGCCTTTTTGGCACAGAGGTGGCCTTCCCAGCTTTTCTAGTGCAAGCCTCCTGCCAACATCTGTAAGAGAGGCAAAAGGAGCTGGAGTTTAGAGAAAGTTTTCTTCTGCTGGGGCTCCTGTGTTATGAGACACCCTCCTTCTTGAAATTAGACTGGCACCATCATTTGTGTCCACCTGGAAACAGAGTTGAGGACATTTGTGAGAAGAATGGACACTAATATTTGGTGCTTTATAGTTGTTCATGTTTTATTGGCTTTATTGATATTCTTATATTTTTATTCTGTAAACTGCTAGGAAACATTTTGGTTGAATCCAGTAGTATATAAACACTAAATAAATAAATGCTTTTGTGAAAGGATTTCATCAATCAGTTTATGTAATTAATAGTTGCTTTCTAGTATTCAGGCGTTTTGCCCTCTAGGTTTTATATCTGAGATAGGCAACTCCCATGATTGCTTATATAAACAAAAAATGTTTTCTTGCACTGAACTACATATTTACTTAGAGGGAGAAAAAGCCACTGTAAAATTGACGTGCATTTTTGGCATATAAAATGAAGTCTTGTTTTCCTTTCTTCTTTGTACTGTATAAGATCCTCAATCAACTAGCACCATTAGTTTCAAATGGATACACAGTGTGCTAGCGTGGAAAATATGCATAGCACATATTCAGTTTTACACATAGAGTATTATTGCTAAGGGTCAATTCCATCAATAGAAAGGATTAAAAAGTATATTGTAAGGTAAATCTTAATGATGTGCCATATGTGAAACAGGACTAGTGGGTGGATAAATTTTAAATTTAACAATGTACTGAGAAAAGCCTGCATAAAAATAGTGGCCATATAATTTAATATCCCAATTGGATGTCCTCTGTTACAATGGTACTAAATTTGTAGAATTCCCAGTTTTCAGCCATGCTGCCTATGAATTGTGGAAATTATAGCACTCAAATTTCTGGAAGACAGTAATTTACAGATAACGCTGCTAAATTATCATAGTATGCTTTACTGTTTATAGAATGCACCCTTGATATTTTGTTACATTATCATATTACAGGGTTGTATCAGCGCTTTGAGAATAGCATCTTGATATTGTGGACAATTAATTGTTTATGTTTGGATTATCAGTGTCTCCTTTTTTCTTTTTTCTTTTAAAGATTATTTGAAGTGGAAAGGCCTGAAGCTTACCAGCAAACCCTCAATACATCCTGAAACTATCTACTACTATCTGCCTCATCTCCGGAAAAATGAAGATGCTATTTACCCAAAAGTCATAACTGGGCAGAGCAGAACTGGGGGTGAGAATAAAATTTAATGTAGAAGAGAAGAGTTTTTACATGTGTGTTAATTGTGTAATCGTGCAAACATCAACATTTCTGGGCAGTTTTCTTTAAGGAAAGAAGTGTTTCTACATTTTTTATTTGAATGTGTATATCTGATAAAAACAAATCTGTGAACACAAGAGATGATACCATATGTCCACATTTGAAAGTATGTTGCACTTAGTTTCTTATATGAAGAAACCCTATTAGAGCATTGTTTAAAATCTTAAGTAAAAATGAAAACAAAATACATAAACTGCACGGTTACATTTTCCCTTTTGTTTAGTGCACTGCTTAGATAACTGTTATTATTCTATTCTATCTACTAACTTCAAGTGAAAGTTTAACTGGGAAAATGGCAAATTTTTCTTGGTAATCTATTTGACTCAGTAGCATACTAGTCCTACTTCTTCCAGGTGAAACCACTGCATTAGACTACATTAGTTTACTAGTGATTAATTTCCATAAAAGTGTATGTTATCAACAGCTTTGCACAAAGCTACTGCAGTATTCTATTGGGATGGTGGAAATATAGTACTATTAAGATACTCATAATATTTCCTGCTGACATCTATAAGAAATGACAGAAACAACAGCAGGTAGTTAAAAATACAGATATTCCTCTACTTACAAGGAGGTTAGGTTCTGAGAGGCTATTCATGTCCATTTTGTTTTATAGTCCAATGAAGTATAAAAAACTTGTGCAGTATGCTGCTCTTACCAGTGACGTGCAGTGAGGATTACGGTTGGTGAAGCAAGAGCGCGGCAGCGGCGAGAAGCAACGTCCCCGCCGCTGTGTCCGACAGGCGTCTCACGTTTATGTCTGCTATAAACGCGAGATGCCTGTCGGACACAGCGGCGGGGATGGAGGAGGCAGGGGGCAATGCGGTAGAGTGCGACAACAGTGAGAAGCAACGTCCCTGCCGCTGTGTCCAACAGGCATCTCGCGTTTATGTCCGCCATAAATGCGAGTTGCCTGTTGGACACAGTGGCGGGGATGGGGGAGGCGGGGGGCAAGGCGGCAGAGCATGGTAGCGGCGAGAAGCAACGTCCCCACCGCTGTGTTCGACAGGCGTCACACGTTTATGTCTGCTATAAACGCGAGACGCTTGTCGGACACAGCGGCGGGGATGGAGGAGGCGGGGGCGAGGCGGTAGAGTGCGACAGCAGTGAGAAGCAATGTCCCCGCCGCTGTGTCCGACAGGCATCTCGCGTTTATGTCCGCCATAAATGCGAGAGGCCTGTTCGACACAGCTGCGGGGATGGAGGAGGTGGGAGGCAAGGCGGCAGAGCACGGTAGCGGTGAGAAGCAACGTCCCCACCACTGTGTCCAACAGGTGTCTTGCGTTTATGTCTGCCATAAACGCGAGACACCTGTCGGACACAGTGGCGGGGATGGAGGAGATGGGGGGGCGAGGCGGCAGAGTGCGGCAGCGGTGAGAAGCAATGTCCCTGCTGCTGTGTCTGACAGGCATCTTGTGTTTATGTCCGCCATAAATGTGAGACTCCTGTCAGACACAGCAGCGGGGACGGAGGAGGCGGGGGGGGGGCAAGGCGGCAGCTGGCGAAGAAAGGGGAGAGGAGGAGGAAGAAAGGAGCAGGACGGGGCTCCTGGTGGGAGGGGAGAGGAGAAAGGGAAGGGGGCACAGCAGGCAAAAGAAAGAAAGCACCAGCCCGCCAGCAGAGGCGGGTTGCCCCTCTCTTCTCAAACAAGGCTGCCCTCCCTGCCTCTGCCCCTTCCCTCTCTTTTCAAACAAACTCTCTCTCAAATTGAGAGTTTGTTTGAATGAAATGAAGAAACACACACACACACACACACACACACAAACACACACACAAATTACTCACAATAAAAAATTACTTACAAATTAAATTACAATAATTTTGAATTGGTCCC